CTTGCCTTGAAAGTTTAATAATAGATGTACACTGAAATCTTACAAAGGTTTTTATATTAATAAATGTCTGTAATAGAATATAGAGGATTTAAGTCTTGTTCTTCAGACAACCCTTCCTACATCCGACAAACGAATATGCTGTAGTGTCGGTGCGTGATCGGAGTCAAAATCGGAGTATGACGTGACGCGTGTCGGAGAGGAGTAAACACCCGCGTTCAAAGTTAAGTACCATTCCCCTCTCCGACAATCGTACCACAGTATGATCGGAGTCGGATCGGAAGGGTGTATGACAATAGTGTCCCCGCCTTAGTGCGAGAGCGGGAGCAGTCTGGCGTCAGACTTACACACCATCGACAGCGAGTACAGTACGACGAACGAGCGTCGAACAGTCTTAATTTTCCTGTCAGGAGATAAGCAAGATTGCTCAAGCTCAACAAATGCAAGCAATGTAACCTGTGTTGCCAATGATCATATTAAACTAACGCGGTTTCAAATTTTAACTAAATCACTCGTAGCTATTATAACTCACTTGTTAATATTGCAAGTATCTTTCTTTCCTTATTAATTACACTTCTTTATTTCGGCCTGTTTATAATTTTATACTATTAACCAAGTGTATCGTGGTTACATTTGAATGTTAAAAGACTTCCATGATTAATACAATTAAAACAACTTATAGATATAATTGTGATAAGTGGTTTTTGTTACTTTCTATTCATGGGTTCCAAGCAAAGATTGGAGCTGCCCTCCCGGCAGTAGTGTGATGATAGTTTTGGCAATGAATTTATGAAAGCCTCTAAGACCCATCTGCCTTCTACATGTCTGATTTTCCAGTTATACCACTATCTCGTTTTTGTTGAGCCACAACTTTGCGACTCGGTGTTATTCCATTTCCTGTATTGCTCCTATTTGCCCAACTTCAAACTGTCAATTCTACGAATCCATATGTGATCAAAAACTGTTCCTTGCAAACTTCCACTGATTTGCTATCTTGAAGTTTTAGGGTGCACTTTATTGTTTCTTGTCTCCTCGAATTCTCTCCTTTCTTTGTAACTGTTTTTTTTTTTTCAACACGTTTGGCAAAAGTTATTGAACAATTCTTTTCCGTAACCCTCCTGTATACGGTGGCATCCTCTCATTTTAGATCTTATGCATGAATTGCTTTGATATGAATGACCCATTTTTCTTACTTCTTTTTTTATAACATGTTAATTTAAATATTGGACAGATGATACGCAAAAGAAATTATAATATGGATTTAATATTTAAAAAATAACATGTATTGTTTAGATTTAGGAGCACCTGGAAGTACTAAGTACAAATAGACTGTTTCTATTATTCGCTCAGTAACCATGCTTCTAACTCAACAGACAACTGCTCTACTCTGAGAATATGCGTACAGCTGAAATACCACGCAGCAAAAATAGTGCATGCAGCGTTTTGCATTTCGAGGGTAAATTTTACTCCGCCGGTGGCGGTATACTATACCTTCGCCTGTTTGAATAAAGCATTGGGGAGATTTCTTAACTGTTACTGCTGCTTCAAATATGTAAAGAGACGGTACGGTTAAAATTTTCAGTGATTAAAAAAAAGGTGCATATGGTGTTAAGTAATGTTGCTTAAAAACTGTTCCAACAATTCTTTTCTGTAGGATAAAAACTCTCTTTGCATCAAGGCTATTTCCCCAAAAGAGTACGCCATAGGCTGTTACACTCTGAAAGCTTCCATAGTATATTTTTGTAATACTTCTTGATCGACTATGTTTTGGAGTCTTCTTACTAAGCAGTATACAACTTTCAAACGTGTTATCATACTATCAATATGTTCAGTCCAGTGCACATTTTCTGTAATTGTAATTCCAAGATATCTGGTACTATGGTTGATTTTGAGCGACTCCACTTTTCTGCGACTTGCCAGACGTCCACAATTTTCTAGTAAAAATGTTATCTTACAGAATTATATATATATATATAGATAGATACGCTCGGATGATTGGAGACAGCGTAGTTTAAGTTTCTCTTTAAATTCAGTGCTGTCAAATACCATATCTATATTTTCAATCATGTTCTTTTCGCTCAATACTGATATGTAATATATGACGTAAACTCCACAGCTGCTGCTATCACGTTGCTGGGGATGGTTTATGTTAATGAAGCTGAATTCGTGAATATTAATAGATTCCATTGTAGATAAACGGTTTCTGATTTTTAGAAATTCCGTGATTTCTTAGATTCCTTTTAATTTATTATTGGATCGTCATTCATTGGGTCAAGATGGGTAAGCAATTTATTCTTCAGATCTACAATATACAAGCAAAAATGATTGCATTCGTTGTAGGGAACAAAAACTAAGCTTGGAACGTACCTAAAAAAACACACTTTGGGTTCTGAGCAAGTTGCCTCATTACAAATCGGGCAAGGATTTTGTTAAACGCTTCAAAATCAGCATAACACACATAGGGTACAATTTGTATATTTTTAAAGTTGGTGAAACGTAATTTACTTTCTGTTTCGTCTGGCATTTCAACCTTTACTGGCGTATTTGAATTACGCATTATTTTATGCTTTTCAAAACCCGTTTTTGTTGTGAAATGAATAAAGCAACTCTTACACACTTAAATTCTTCCATGATGATTTGTAATTTGGTGACATACTAGTTTCTCAAAATTACTTATATACGCAAAGTGTGTTGTTGTATCATTTTTTAACAGTAACAAATCCCTATGGTCTGATTTTTCAGTTTTACAAATTTTGATTGGAAATACGTAATGTTTCTTAGTTTTCAAATCTTTTTCCAACCCGAACACATTCAAACTAATGTTATTAGCTTTTTCAAACTTAGGTATATCTTTTACAGAAACATGAAATTGTACAGTATGACATCCCAATTACATTCATTTTCTAGTTCTGGATTGTTTACATATTTTGAAACTCTATGTGCATTACCACCTTCAACAAATTTTGATAATATTGCATATTTAAAACAGTTGGGGTCATCATTTACGACATTTACAACTGCATGTTTAGAAGCTATATCCGCAGGAAGGGGAAATGCTTCTTACCTTTAAGAGGTGTGTATTTGTTTATTCTGATTTCAATACCAATAATTTTACTAAGACTCCAACCTGATCCTTTACTTAGAAAATCGTTTTCCTCCTTTGATAATTTAACAAATAACTTGTCACAAAATTGATCCAAATCTGTTGATTCAAACACCGCCTCATTGCGGGTTTTAAAAGCTAACTCTTTCCTAACTTTCAGGATACCATCTTTCACATAGACAGATTTTAAAATAAAATTACATTTCACTGCCTTACATGTAGCAATCTTTTCCTCTAGTTCATCAATAATAAACGGTTTACAATGATATCAAGTCCATTTTTTAGAAAAAATGTCTGTAGTCTGCATTTAGCAGCGCTTTCAGTTTCAACTATTGGGCAAAACCCATATAGCTTAGTAAAATGTTCAAGGCTTTTTAAATGTGCGTCACTTTCGCGGTACCACAAATCACAAACCGTGGGCATTTAAATCTTGTGGGCATTAGATTTTTCGTGTTCGTCTGCCATTTTCCTTATATTTCCAATCATTATATCCGGCTGAAGTGTGAACTTCATTTCTGAGAACAGAAAAGTGCCGGTAAAATACTGCATCATTTTCACTTGAGTAGTCTATCCAGGAATATTGAGAATATGAAAAGCGCTGGAAAGACCTTTGCTTTCTTGATATATTTTGCCTAGGAAAATTAAGCATCGGTTGTTTGGGTTCGACAGAAGCACATGCACTAAGATCAAGTGGCCCTCTAATTTGGTTACTTTACTCATCAAAATGGATGTTCATTTCAGGTCACTAATAGGCAGATTAGTGTCATTCTCATCTAATTCTAAAACTGACTTTTCAACATTGAAACTAGTGTTGAAAGACTATGACTCACCTTCATCACGTGTAGGCCTAATTGACTGTTCATTGTTGCAAGTATTTTTCTTTCCTTATTAATTACACTTCTTTATTTCGGCCTGTTTATAATTTTATACTATTAACCAAGTGTATCGTGGTTACATTTGAATGTTAAAAGACTTCCATGATGAATACAATTAAAACAACTTATGGATATAATTGTGATAAGTGGTTTTTGTTACTTTCTATTCATGGGTTCCAATCAAAGATTGGAGCTGCCCTCCCGGCAGTAGTGTGATGATAGTTTTGGCAATGAATTTATGAAAGCCTCTAAGACCCATCTGCCTTCTACATGTCTGATTTTCCAGTTATACCACTATCTCGTTTTTGTTGAGCCACAACTTTGCGACTCGGTGTTATTCCATTTCCTGTATTGCTCCTATTTGCCCAACTTCAAACTGTCAATTCTACGAATCCATATGTGATCAAAAACTGTTCCTTGCAAACTTCCACTGATTTGCTATCTTGAAGTTTTAGGGTGCACTTTATTGTTTCTTGTCTCCTCAAATTCTCTTCTTTCTTTGTAACTGTTCTTTTTTTCAACACGTTTGACAAAAATTATTGAACGATTCTTTTCCGTAACCCTCCTGTATACGGTGGCATTCTCTCATTTTAGATCTTATGCATGAATTGCTTTGATATGAATGAACCATTTTTCTTACTTCTTTTTTATAACAAGTTAATTTAAATATAGGACAGATGATACGCAAAATGAAATTATAATATGGATTTAATATTTAAAAAATAACCGCAGACTGAACTACAACTGTGTTTCATCAGTAATAGCAACACGGTATTTTATTTGTGTAAATCCTTTCTCTAGATATTTTTGCGTTAGCCTAAAGCCGGGTTTACACTATGTAGCAAAAACTGCTATATAACTTTTGCTAGATGTAGCATTTGCTATATGTAGCAAATGTTATATAACATTTTTATTCGGAACTTTTTACTCCTGCTAGATGTTACATGTAGCAAATGCTAGATGTTACATATAGCAAATGTTATATAACATTTCAAATCACAGATTTTTTAATGCTACATGCTACATGTAGCAAAACCTTTCTCCATTGTCAAAAATGTCGCGGAGACATGATGTTGCGCTCGCTGCTGCGATAACTGTGATATTGGCCTGTCAGAGGAGAGAAAGGAGGTTTTGGGTCAGACCGTCACTTGCTGCGAGGGTGAGGTATAGTGGAACTGACCTGTTAAAAGATCTTGATGCAGATGATGCTACGAATCATCCTTCATTGAGGTGTGAAATTCGGTGTGACGGTAGTTTTAAAAACTTCTTAAGGATGACAAGTGAAGATTTTGAGTTTATTATTTTTATGATTGGACACAAAATTGGAAAGAAAGACACTAAATTCAGGGATGCCATACCAGTACGCGAGAAGTTAGCAGTGACTTTAAGGTTTTTAGCAAGTGGGGATTCTTACCAGAGTTTGAGTTATCTTTTTAAAATATCCAAGTCCGCCATCTCACTCTTGATTCCTGAAGTGTGTGAAGCTTTGATTGATTTGTTCAAGGACTGCATCAAAGTAAGTAATGACTCACCGTTGTATTTAAATTGTAATTTATTAATCAAACAACGTGTTACATATTTAGTTGATACAACGTTACATTTATACTGCTAAAAAATATAGTTTTAACAAGTAGTCTACGTAAAAAAAATATTTTAATTAATGGTGCATATAAAACTCGCAATTACCTTACATATAAAAATAACCTAAAAAAATAATGATAAAGGCTACCCCAAAGTTCATAACTTGTGTGTAACGTTACAGTTAACAAGTTAACAAAATATGTGTACATAAAAATATGCTTTTTTTATTGTTGCAAATAGATTTTGGAACCACCTTATACAAATTTAAACAAATTTCAAAGTTATCCTGGAAGTTCATTACTTGTGTTGTATATTACAGTTAACGAGTTAACAAGTATGTACCCATAAATATGTTATTTATTACTGCAATTATAAATTGCAATTACCTTGCAAAAAAAATAACCTAAAAAAAGTACCTGAAGGTTCATTCATTACTTACTTATAACGTTACAGATAACGAGTTAACAAGTATGTATCCATAAATATGTTATCTATTGTTGCTTTTAGGAATTGCAATCACTTAACATATAAAAATAACCATATGGCTCTCTTAGTAAATTATTTAACATTATTTAGAACACTGTTAATGAACGCATCTGTTGGATCGACGGAATCGTTTGGCTCTGACTCGTTTGGGGGCAGCTGAGAGTCATTATGGTTTTGAGAAGTTGGTTCAGGAAAAGGAGAGTTTGATGCACTAGCATTTAGAGATGTTGAAGAACTGTGATGGAATTGCTCCATTTCCAAATCATATAAAACCTGAGATATTCTTTGTTTAGCCACAATCTGGTAAAGTTTTGTATTTAAGTTTCTAAGTTGACAAGCTACATGCGCCCCAAAAACATCAAATTCATCCTTGATATGATCCTCATTATCCTTTTCCTTAACTAATTTTTGCATTACACCGTTCTTCGGCGAGTTCTCTTGACGACTTTTTCTTAAGCGGTCTTGATGGTGGCTGAAGGGCACGTTTACCAGTCTGCTGTTGTTTGCTTGGCCCAGCGGCAGTGTAGTCCTCTTGTTGCGATTTTACACCAGCGTCCATATCCAGAATTGAAGATTCTTCTTCATTAAAGTCCTCCTACAATAGGGGAAAAATGCTATATAATTTCATAATTGATAACTAAATATATATATTAAATATATATTGTTTACCCTCCATTAGACATTATAATTAGTGATCATTTAGCCTACTTTTGAATAAGTTAAATCAGAATAATTTAAGATATTCAAAAGCTTGTCTCTTTTAATTTATTTATAAATTGCCTTGAGGCTCAATTAATGAATTTAATTATTAATTTTGATTATATTTGAATTTTTAAAGAGGGATAAAATGTGTGAGTTAGGTACTGTAGAGCCAACCACCCCCCCCCTCCCCAAAATAACGCAACATAACGCTGCGCTGTTGTTTTAGGTACCGACTTCAGAACATGAATGGCTCGCAGTTGCTCAGCAGTATAACAGCAAGTGGAACTTCCCCCATTGTCTGGGAAGCATGGATGGAAAGCATGTTACATTGCAAGCGCCTGTTCATAGTGGTAGTGATTTTTTTAATTACAAAGGATCATTTAGTATCGTACTTTTCGCGATTGTTGATGCCGACTACTGTTTCTTATACGTAACCGTTGGATGCCAAGGACGACTATCAGATGGCGGTGTATTCGAGCATACGCAGTTCAAAGAGATGATGACAAACTGTCAGCTGAACACTCCTAAGGCAAAATGTTTGCCCGGAAGTACGTACCCTTTTCCACACGTGCTTCTAGCAGATGACGCTTTCCCCCTTAAATCTTGGATAATGAAGCCTTTTCCAGGGACTCACCCAAAGGGCAGTGCTGAAAGGATTTTTAATTACCGCCTTTCGCGTGGTAGAAGAGTGGTAGAAAACGCTTTCGGTATATTATCGGTGGTGTTCCGGGTTTTGAGAAAGCCCATGTTGTTGGAGCCGAAAAAGGCTGAACAAGTGGTTCTCGCGTGTACATATCTCCACAATTTTCTAAGAAGAAGTAAAACCTCCAGTACAACATACACACCACCTGGTACCTTTGACTTGGAAAATGAGAAAACGTATGAACTGATACCGGGTCAGTGGAGGGTAGAGGGTTCACCGTCTGGTACATTGTTCAAGTTACGCCGTCTGCCAAGGAAACCCTCAGACTTAGCGAAACAGGTCCGTGTGAAGTTGAGTGAATACTTTCTAACCAACGAAGGATCAGTTCCATGGCAAAACAATGTGTGAATGAAGGCTAGGATCAAATTGTTAATAGTCATAATGAATAAACTCTATATTAAATAAGTCCAATAAACTTATTTGTAGTTATGGTAAATTATTGTTCCAACCTAATATATTTTTTATTTGGTTTTAACTGTATCATAATTACTCATTGCGAGGGAGCGAGCGAAATGGAGAGAGAAAGAGAGAGAGAGAGAGAGAGAAATTAACTTCAGTAAATTTACTAAGAAATTAAGTTTAATTAGTTAATTAGTATGGACTATCCAGATTGCCATAGTTGATCTAACGTACACAAAATTAGATAAAGGTAACTTGATTAAATGGACAATGAATAACACTAGATAATTATGGCGCTCAAAATTTGAGCACTTGGAATCTTTAGTATGGCCAGACTTTTTAAACAGCTGTTGAAATATAATCATACTGTGAATACATTAGTTTAATTCAGTTTGGTCCAATGTCGATGGATAGAGCTACTGTTGTAAAACTACAATTGTTGATATTGTATTTAAGTTATGCCCTATCTTGCAATTATGAGACGTACTACATAAAAACTCCTTTAATTTGACACCTCAAACATTAAAATCCGTGCAGCCATTATCGAGTTATGACTGTGAAAAGAAATCCCCTCGAGTATTAATATATTTTTTTTTTTTTTTTTTTTTTTTTTTTTTTTTTTATTTATTTGGAAAATCTCAAAAATATTACAACATTTCATAAACAAAGCTTGCTGCAAAAGCCAGGAAAAATTGGCTTGTCTGCAGCTCATAGAGATAAACTTGTTCTAGATAACAATGTACTTTGTCCCTTGGTCAGTCTTCTCCATATTACACTCTGGTTTTCCTTGTTTCTTGTCAAGATCTGCTATTTGTTGTTTTGACTTATTCTCTACCTTTCTATATAAGACTAGCTTGCTTTAAAAACAACTTGAAACAATTATCTTAAATAAATAAAATATATAACAATAAATAACATGCATTAAATACTTCTCAACTTTAACAATAATATAATGAAATAATTTTTTAACAATACAACAATACATAACTAAATAAATAATTAAATAATTTATAATAACAACAATATTAAACCAGTTTTAATGGATTCCTTGAGATGACAATACTAAAATAAATAACGTGCATTAAATGATTTTAACTTTAACAATAATATAAAAAGAAAGTAATGTAATAAACAATGTTTAAATGAATTTATTGAGATAACAATGCTTAAGCCTAGATTTCAAGACTCTAAAACTAGTTATATTTTCTATTTCAGTTGGCAATCTATTAAAAAACGTTGGAACTAGAAATTTTCTAACTCTTTTTGAAAATTTGTTTGTGGTCTTAGGAACAATATAAAACTGTTTGCGTGAATTGTATCTATGGTCATTTTTTACTTTAAATTCATTTGAGAAATAGTAATCAAGTAAAATTATATACTCAAATAATACATCCACTGGTAATACCTCAACCATCCTATATCCGAGCAGAGGGTTTTCTGACAAAACAGTAGAGTCAAGCTTTGTCATAGTTTTTATGATTCTATTTTGCACAGTTTTTATTTGATTTATGGCTGTGGGTGATGCTGATCCCCATGATCTTAAGCCATATCTAATCACTGACTCACATATGCCTGAATATATGATTTTCATTGTTGTAAAAGGTAAAAAATCTTTTAAATAGAAAAATTTTGCTGCACAAACTCGTAGCCTGTTTGTTACTGTCTTAATTTGTAAATCCCATTTCATATTGTGGTCAATTGTTATACCTAAATATTTGTAATTCACTACATTCTGTAATGGTAGGCACCCACATGCAGCATTTTCAAATTGTTTATTGTGTAAGCAGTCATGACAATGGAATTTCACATTTATTTCTGAGCATTTGTATGACGGTGAATGTATGTGCATCAACTTTGATTTATCTCCATTTATAGCTAGACCATTGTCGTGGCACCACATGGTTAAACTTAAGAAATCTATTTGCATTTTTTCGGTAGCTTCCTGAATGTTTTTGTGGGATAATACAAGCGCAGTGTCATCTGCATACATATATATTCTACTAAATTGTAATATTTCAGGAAGTGAATTAACATACAACAAGTATATCAATGGCCCTAATATACTACCTTGGGGTACCCCATACCTTAAGATTTTTTCCTCTCCATATGTACTCTTAATTCTAACCTTACATTTTCTATCCATTAAATAACTTAAAAACCAGTCTTTAATTTGCCCTCTTACTCCTGCTGTGTCCAGAGCCATTGCAATTGTCTCATGCTTTAAAGTATCAAATGCCTTACTAAAGTCTATAAATATTACTAAAACCTGTTTTCCTTCACTAAGCTGTTCATTTATATAATCTGTAAAATCTAAAAGTAGCTCGTTTGTTCCTTTCTTCCTCTGATATGCATATTGCTGTTTGCTAATAATACTATTCCTTTCTAAATGGTCAATCAAATTATTTGCAATATATCGCTCCATTAACTTACTAATAGCTGGTAAAATAGATATTGGACGATAATTCAAATAGCTCTCATGACTTCCTGCTTTATAAATTGGTCTAATTACTGCAGTTTTTAACAGTTCTGGAACGCAAGATTTTTTAATTGAAGTATTTATCAGTCTTATTATGGGTTCAGACAGTAAATCAGAATTGTTTTTTATGTCCTGCATGCGTATATTATCTAAACCAGGTCCCTTTTTCTTCATAGATTGTACTAATATATTAAAATTTTCCTTATCCAGGTCTGGTATGGTTAGAGTCTCCTTACATTTCTTTTGCTCCTTATATTGTGACACAATTATCTGACAGTCATGTAAAGATGCATATACACATTCTGTGAATTGTTCTCCAAAGGAATTGCACACTGTTTCTATTTTGTTGTTCTTATCCAATAAATATTTCTCTACGACCTCATCTATATTTTTTGTTTTATTTTTTCCCAAAATTGTATTTATATTATTCCAAGTCACTTTCATATCGTTTCTACTTCTTTGGAACAAACAATAGTAATAATTTCTTTTAGCTTTATTAATTTCTGCAACTACCTGGTTTCTAGCAATTTTATAATCAACTCTATGTTTGGTTATATTTGGGTAGGCTTTATGTGTTCTGAAAAGTTTGTCTCTTTTTTTAATCATGTTAACTATTTTTAAACTCATCCATGGCTTCTTTGTTTGCTTTTGTCTTTTTATTTTACAAACTGAACTAATTTCATAGGCTTCTTTGAAATTTAATAATATACGGTTGTAAATATAATTTGGATTATTTAAAGTATTAATTGACTGCCATTCCATTTGTCCTAGTGCCTGTTTTAGTACAGCTATATCAATATTTGCTGATTTATTTTTCCTCTGAGTGGATGGACAGCAATGGTCAGTCTGAACGTTGATCACACAGGTGTAGTGGTCTGATATCTTTACCTGTACGATATCTGAGCTGACCTTTGCTCTCTTAGCTCTAAGGAACGCATGGTCTATACATGTCTGAGTCAATTTATTTGCTCTTACTTCCTCTCTGGTAAAATCATTAATATAAGAAATCAGCCCATGTCCTGCCATAATTGATTTATAATCCTCAACACTTTTTTTATAATAATCCTTTAAGTCCAAGTTCATATCTCCAATCACCAATAGATCGCCTTTAATATCTGTTATTATTTTTTCCATTTCAGCTATAAATCTATATTCATCACCTGATGGCTGTCTGTATGTGGCTACAATATTTATCACATAGTTATTTTTTGTGACCTTAATGACTTTGCTTTCAAAACTACTACTGTTTACATCCAACCCCTGTACTAAAATGTTTTCTTTAATAAAAATTACAATACCTCCACCTTTTTTTTCTTGTCTTAAATTGTGCACTATGTTATATCCCTTAATATTAAAAAAATTCAAAATTTCAGACAGAGTTTCTTTTACATTAACTTCAGTAAATATAATTATGTCCACAAAAGTAAAACATTCATAAAAATAAACCAAAAACTGATCCCAATTTTTTCTTATTGACCTAATGTTAAGATGCAAAATTGTTATACCTGACTCATACTGTCCTTCAAAACATGAGTTTTTAAATTCTTGTGTATTCAAAAAAACTTGTGCCCTATATTGATCACTATCAAAAATTTCCATATTGTTTATCAATCAGGTCTAAGAACTAATAATGTGTCAGGTACAACAAATTTTACTTTATTTTACTTAATTGAGACATATCTTCTATAACTAAAACTTTACTTTTTTCACTCTTTCTCACTCTAACTGCTCCATATTTATACCAGATAAAACTTGTATCCTAGTTCTTTTCCCTTCTTCTTTGCTTCCCGTAGTAAGTTTCTGTAGTAAGGTGATAGATTTTCACTTACGTATATCCTGCCGCCATCGAGCCCCGTCACCTGGTTGTTGGTCACCACCTTATCCCTCTCTGCCAGGATCTCTTCCCTCTTTTTCCTCCTCACCATCTGTACAATTATGGTTGCTGGTCGGTCGTCCCGGCGAGTCTTTGGTAGTCGGTGAGCCATCTCTATGTCGTCTTTCGTCATCACTACACCCATCTTGTTTACTACATCCACCACAATTTGTTCAACATCTTCCAATTCTTGCTCAGCAACTTCATTGATTTCAATGTTTCTATTTCTTCCATATTGTTCCAGCTGGTTAAGTCTTGATTCCAATGCACATATCTGGTCATCTTTCTTCTGTATGGTAGCTTTTAACTGCTGAATCTCCCTCTCTAGGACTGGTAGAGTCTCTAATTTTCTGCAAATGTCGTCATATTGATTTCCTATGTACTCCTGACTTTGAACCATTTCATCGTTTTTATTTTTTATTTGTTTGATATCTTCTTTAATTTCGCTCAAGCACTCTAACTTCATAGAAACTTCTTCTAAAAAAGACTTAATGCGTTCCGTCTCCTCCTCATTTTCCTCTGTTCTTCGTCCGCTTTTTTTAACTGATTTACATTTTCCACAGACCCATTCTGCCTTGTGTGTTTTCGTAAGTTTTTTAAACATTGCATGACTAAAGCCAGCACATCTGTAATGATACTCTAACTTACAATTATCGTTTGAACAAACAATTAATTCAG